TCATATTGCCTTAGTGTACTTTCTATTTGGCATACGTGAATAAAATTACATAATACGTAAGCATGCAGAATTAAATAAACATAAATGAATGTAATATATACTTGACATATTCACATTCTAACTGTAAGACATCGGTATACAATGTGATAATGGGTAATCTTATTTTTAGGAATTGTTTGTTTTTCTAAATAATAATAAATGCAATATTATATCTGTACAACCACAAGGCAGGTTCCGTATAGAATAGAAAAACAGAACAAAATATATTATATGCAGTCTCCGTTAACGAGTATGGAAATACATAACAAGTAACGTGCGTATCATAACATGTACGTACCTATATATGCATTATCATAATCACACAACGTCACACACCTAAACACCATTTAAATTTCTTAGACTAAATATTTGATTTTTTAACTAATATAATGTTCGCACAAACATATTTTACTATACACACAAAATAAAAGCAAAACCGTTCTCCACAAAATAGAGAACAAAAAAAACACGCTAACAGCTTTCCCTCCAGATGGGTACTTTGTAAACTGAGAAGTCCCTCGAGAATGGAATTCCTTTATACTTTTAACGCAGAGATTTTTTGCGCCATCAACTTTAGACGGGTTGTACACCAGTAAACACGTAATCAAGTTTTTAACAACTGAGTAAGCATGGCAGTGAATTATGCAAGCCTCCTTTACCGGGGACTATGCGAAAAGGTTTTAGAGACAACGAAGGAGACATTTTACTACCAATTAGGTTCCTGATAAATAGGAAGTGGTATTGCTAGGTACCAAAACGTTGTTTTAGTTGAATATTTATAGTAAATGACATTAGCCAGCCTGAATGTCAACTATAATTAGCGGGAGTTATAAATTTTAATGACTATTCTATAGGCATTAAAATAGAATGTAGCTTTCATTTAAAAATACGGCAAGTATTAATAATGATAAATAAACATTAACAAATTATTAATATTAAATTTTTACTGCGTCTGCTAGTCGGAATTTGTATGACCAATATATTACAGAATATGCATTATGTAGTGATTAGTCAATGCTGTGTCTATTCCACAGAAGTTTGTTTTATTAATCTCTCAAAACTTTAACCGAATATAAAGTTTTATGCACATTCAAGTCAAGCAAATACAATACATAAATATATTTAGTATGTCGATTTCTCATACATAATTGACCATATAACGTACTACATGTATATTTTACAGCTGTACAAATAACTAAGTGGCTGCTACATTATTAGCTAAAGCATATTATTCGACGAGGTGGCCGAGAGGTTAAGGCGTTGGACTGCTAATCCAATGTGCTCTGCACGCGTGGGTTCGAATCCCATCCTCGTCGTATATTTTGCATTTTCAAACTGTGTACACTGTATTGAGAGTGTAATAGCATGATATCCAAGGATATTTATATTATATGTAGCTATAGATATATTTTTTTTTTTCTATTGCGTGGCAAAGGAAGATTTTGGGTATGTAGAATGTGATATTTATCAGAAAGAAAAGGATACGTGGTTTCTTTTAGCAATACTATTATTATCTATTAAAAAATAAGTTGGCTATTATATTATAAATAAGTGGCTAATTTGTTAGTAAACTATCTAGAAAAAAATGTACAAATTGTTAAAAAAATTACCATTTTTCACTCTTGTTTTTGAAAATGATATATAAACTACTACTTCAATTTCAACGTAATCAGCCCTCTTAGATAATAAATAAAAAATCAAATAACATATCTCACCACTATATGTATCACATATATAACAAAAACATCTGCTGTCTAGATTTAATCCTATTTTACGTAGTTTCATTATATTAATAAATATATTGTTTATCTAGATATTGCTTCTTCAGCTCCTACTAGTGTAGTAGGTAATTGTTTTGCTTAAGCTTAGTATTTTTAGAAAGTACTCTAGGTGACTAATTTCAGAAATTATAGGGACGTTCCAAATACGCATAGAATATGAAAAAATATTTTCTTTTAATATACATATGACTCCAAAAGTTTGTATATAAAATGATCATTTCGCTCTCGAAATATCTAAGTTCGAAACCATTATGTATTATTATATTTTTATACTACTATATCTAATATTAAAATACAAGTTACACACACACAGTTGGTAATTTTGTCTTAAATAATACATAATTTCTTACATTACGTGTTAAAGAACTTCAACCTACAGGTCTTCAAGGTATGTTGTACATATACATAACAGTAATTAATTAGTTAGATATTTCTATAAGACGAGGTGGCCGAGTGGTTAAGGCGTTGGACTGCTAATCCAATGTGCTCTGCACGCGTGGGTTCGAATCCCATCCTCGTCGATATCATTTTTATTAATACATAATTATAATGTAATGTAATTACATTACATTTATTCCAATCTCGTTGTTCCTTTAATATATTCATGAAAATTGTCAGCATCAAAAATCAAATAAAACACGCTTAAAGTAGGAAAGTCAATTTATTCGTATAAAAGAAAACTCGATTCAATGCGTTCAAAATCGTCCAATCAAACCGGGATTACTAAAACCACTGAATGCGCTCCAGACTTGTGCGTTTTCAGTCACTTCCAAACGAATATACCTACTAGAACCATGTATAAAATATTAAATTGAAAGATGTGAACACATATTGGAATCAAATTTCTATTTTCTTAATAAAAAAATGTATTTAGTCAATTGTGCAGTCTCTATTATTGAATCTTTTTTATTTATCTCAAATGGCCAGCTATATAGGTCCACCTGTACTATCCACACATATATATAAAGTACGACACGCACATCACATCATGTGACGCCCCCACAAACCATTCTAGAGGACCCCACACACAATAATATCACAAGCACATTTTACGCTTCCGATACACACAGCTCTTATATAAAACCTATTTTCTGGCTGTCTGAAATAGAGGATACAGAGGTACTCACGCAGACAACTTTATAAAGTCGTCTGCGTGTACAGTGCCTTGTATTACTTGTAGTATTCTGTTATAGGTACCTAGTATACATATGTAGACCAACAATAGTGTAAAAAATATTAATAACTATCCGTGATTCCGCTCACTAGAATATAAAAAGCAATATACTTATATCCTAAATTTCATTAAAATAATTTTTCTCGTCCTTTCTATCTTTACAAGCACATTTATAATATGGTTACACATCCAAGTATGTATTTTTACTTTATTTGGAATAATATTTTTTTTTCATCATTGTTATATGGAATATAAAAACAATCTAGTTATCTATTTATACTCTTCCTAACGACTTAAACATAAAAAGAATGTTCTTTAGTAACTTTCCTTTTTACCCATGTTTCTCAGAATACCGTTAAAATCCTTTCCGGCTTAAGATCAAAGGATAACTTTGGCGAAAAAATTGTTCATCACAAATAACAAACAGTTTACAAACGGATTGGACATTTATTTAATCCATTGCCATTTACGTGTGAAACAAGATAGCCACATTTATTGTTATATATATAATAATTTGATTTACATAAATTTGATTAATTCTATCTATAATTCTACAATAGCTACAATTTTTTTCTTATTCTTCATATTATACATAAACTCTATATTTCAAAATAAGTCATTCCGATAAATTAGAAGGTATTAATTATGTCCTTGCTAAATTAAATTCAAAAACGTAATTTCAACAACACAAAATCAGAATTACGTTGTTTCGTTTTAAGGGGACGTATATTTTCAGGAATCAGAGGCTGGTATAATTACGAGAGGAGCGACGATACAAGAGATAAGAATCGAAACGGGGATTACATTTCGTATTTTGCTTTGGACTTGTTTTTGTTACTACCCAAATTTCACTTGAGCCAGTTTGGATATTTACAAGTGACCAGATACTTATGGCTTTTTTCGGATAAAGTTTATGTTTTGCAATCGACGTGGAAACAGCTTGTTGGTTTGAATGTTCATTTAGAAAAATAAAGTATTTTGGAGAGTGTGCAATCTTCACTATCATTTTCGAGTATAACCATTTCAGCTGTAGGCCGCCAGATTTCTAACAGTACCTAATAGGAGAAGAAGTGTTACAGACATTACAACTCAAGAAAAAATAAAGTGACTATTGTCATATCTTCTACACAATTGCTTTTAAATAACCTCTCTCGTAACTTTCACAAAGACATCACTAGTAGTGTCTACCATATTTGTTTTTATGAGAATGTCAAACAAGCTGACATGAAAAGTTTTCATACAGAATTATCATTATCGCACTTTAAAACTAAATAATATAATATTGGTGCTACGCCGCTACGTCAGAAATGTTACCATAAAAGTCTTATGTCAAAATGTATACTACATCTGTATATAAAGTAGATAGAACCCCTGAGATGGCGGAGACGTGTTTACCTTCCCAGATCCAGTTACGATTTTGATTCACACAGCGGCAAAGGGACAAATATTTATGTGGGTTAGATAAGTGTTTGTTATATTATTGCAATGCTCGGAAAAGGCGATATGTCATTCCGTACATACTCGTAACTTGAGTAAAATATTAGAAATAATTGGCTATTTATAGTCTGCAAGCTAGATATTATGCAAGACATAGCTTTTATCTTATACATTTATATTAAAATAAAATGTTATTGTATTAATAACTTACATAAAAATTATTTAGTTCTTTAAATAATGTAGCAAATGTTAACTATTTTTTGTTTAAAATATAATCACTAATATACGTGTAAATTATAGGTCCTCATTGTAAGTAATATATAGTAGCATAGACTGTAAACGCTAATAAATTATTACACCTAGTACCATTACAAAAAAAGGATGTTTTTAAGATACGCATTTTGCCATGATCATTAATACAAATCAAAAATATTCAAGAGCCTGCACTATGAGCAGGGTGCATAATATAATAGAATTTATAATAATAGTTAACAAGTTCTAGGTGTACATCATGTGTTCGTGCGCCATATAAACCGCTTTGTTTGTATTGTATGGAGGTCGATTTTTTTTTCTTCGACTGGCAACACCGACGACAATTGTCATTTTCAGCTGGCCGTAATAATAAATAAATTTTAATTGTTTATCATACAAATATTATAATTTCAATATTGTTATTAGTGATCTAATAGTGTAATTAGTGTCGATTGTTGTTTGTGTACAGTTTAGTGGTGTATTACTTGCAAAAATCGACATTACAAATAGTGTACCGGCCATCTGTCAAACTGTTCGTGAACAACTAAGTTTTATTCAAAATTATTTTGCAATTGTTTCTTGGATTTATCCCAAGAAACTCATAATCATTGCAAGTTTTACATAAAATATTCATATTAAGTTAAATTAATAATAATTATAGTGAAGTTCGGTTGTTGCATACGTCGAAGGAAAAAAATACCCACTAATTTAATTGTAAGTCTTTTTATATTTTGTATTATTATAATTTAAAGGGAAAAAGCACAATTTATCTACATTTATTTCGTTATTCAGTTAAAACGTTTATTTAGATTATCAATTTATCAAATATAACTTGTATATAATATACCTAGGAGAATTTATTCACAATTTTAACACTTAAACTGTATAGTAAGGTTCAGCTGCTGTTCTCGTTGTAATACTTAGCTTCTTTTAGAAATAGCTCACTTCACTCTCCCTAGTAACTATTTATATTCTTAATAATGTCACTATCTACCCGTTCCACAACTGCGCGGCAGACAGAGATGAAGCTTAAAGTGGCCCTACAAGAACTTCAGGCATCCAAAGATCTCAGTGACAAGTTGATCAGGGAGAGAGAAGAGAGTGAAGATGAAATTTTAAAAATTATAAATAAAAATACACAATTAAAATCTGAATTGTCAGAACTTCATAATAGTCATCAGAAAGTTATTGAGCAGCGGGATCAGCTTCAAGAACTATTAAGTAGCTTTCACCAATGTAGTGATACACATGAGCAAGCCTTGAGGCGTATCACTGAGTTGGAGCTTGAGTTAAAGCAGGCATATCTTAAAATTAATGATCTTGACACAAAATTTGAATCTCAACAAAGTAATGAGATTAGTAATTTATATGATGAGCTTATTAGTGTCGACTGTATGCCTCCTTCTACTTCAGTTCCATGCAGCCATCCAGTTGTGATTGACCTTACTAGTGACACATCACAGGGCAACTATAATAATAACATATGTATGTTGAGTCATAATAAATTAAAAAAATATTTAAAATTAAAAAAGTTTATAACTAAGACTCGGAGTATATTATATAAACGTTCCAAAAATGGTCAGTTGCTGAAAAAAACTAGTTTAAACAATTTAAAATTGCATGATTATATTAATAAGTATAATAATAAACTAGTGGAAAGCCAAAAGTTATATGACATGGATACAAGTTACCTAACTTCAAAAATAAAGAGTTTAGAATCATCGCTTCATGATTTAAATAACAAGTATACTATCTCACAAAAACAAATCCAGGAGCATATTTTGGCAATGGATGATTTGATTGATGTCAGTAAATACAATGCTGACCGTTTTGAGTCGTTAACTAAACATTGTACATGTGATCATTCAACTTTGCCAAATAATAATTCAGTTTCAACTGTGCAGATAAATGAAGTTCAGGGGATTTGTGTCAGTGACTATAATCCTAAAAGTAGCACAATGGTGTTTTCTGACAGAATAGGCTGTAATTTTGGGTCTATATTGAAGTATCATCTTAAGGGTGATGTATTAAATTACTGTATGCCAGGGGCATCATTTGCACAAATTATTAACAAAATTAAATCTACTAAAATAAATAAAATGACCACAGTTGTGTTATTTTTCGGTAATAGTATTAAATTAAATAGACAGGATATAATTAAAGGTATTCAATATTTGTTACAATTGAATGTATATAAGATTGTATTGTGCGCTCTTCCTTATACAAGTAGCCATTATCATAAAAAATTAACAATAAGGTACATTACCTTAATAATTTATTGCATACATTGACATGTCGTCATAGTGACGTTTTTACATTTTTTGACACTAATAGTTTTATTAGTGATTTTTATTTGACAAAAGATACAATGTATCTTTCTAAATCTTCTAAGAATAAAATAGCCACTTTAGTGGCTTATAATATTGACTTCATGAACAGTTTACATGGTAAACTTCAATATAAAAATTGTGACATAACAAATGATTCTATTAATTTTTGTTTAAATAGTGATATAAGTAATTTGACTGCAGATTTAAACTGCTAACAAAGACAAAGGGAAAGCAATTAGAATTGGTAATTGTTCATCAGAACATACAAAGTTTTCCGGCAGTGAATTAATTATACAATTATTTTTGGAAAAATACAATATTGACATTATCTGTTTCACTGAACATTGGCTTAAAGAAAGCAATATGATGTTCAGTTTAAATAATTATAATGTTGTCAGCTGCTTCAATAGAAAGTCAGTTAACAGAGGTGGGTCTATGATAATTGCAAGAAATAATATTAAAGTAAAGGAACGTGCTGACATTGTTAGACTTTCTATTGAGTGTTGTACAGAAATCTCATGTATAGAACTAGATAATTATATACTTATATGTGTTTATAGGCCTCCTAATAGTGATTATAATGTATTTGAAGAGGTGATGGAGGATATATTAAAAAAAGTATTTAATAGCAGTAAAAAAATCATTGTGTGTGGTGATTTTAACGTTGATATTCTTTGTGATACACCCACATGTACAAAAATTATTAGTTTATTTCAGTCTTTTAATTTGAGTAATGTCTTTCAGGAACCCACTCGTGTAACCGCTACGACTGCTACTTGTCTTGACAATGTTTTTTGTAACTGTGAGTATATTGAAAAATTAATAATAAATAAACTTCCTTCGGATCACTGTGGTCAAGTTGTTAAGTTTAGTAATCAGACTAAAAAAAATACCAATAATAAAAGATCAAAAAGACAAATAAATGCTTACAATATTAATAAATACAAAAGCACGGTTAAATATAAATTAGACTTAGAGTTACAATCTGTCAGTCTTAATAATCCTGATATTCTTTACACCAAGTTAATTAGTCTTTTGTCAAAAGAATACCAGAATATTTTCAAGAAAAGAGAATATTGTGTTAAATCTAAATTTACAGAATGGGCAACAGTAGGAATACTTAAAAGTAGAAACATTTTATTTGATTTATATGATCAAAAAAAATATAGATTTGATGACAAATTTACAACTTATGTGAGAAATTACTCTAAAATTTTCAAACAAGTTTGTATTGCAGCTAAATCTAATTTTATAAATAAACAAATTAATCAGTCCTCTGACAAAATTAAGACCATCTGGGGAATTATAAACAAAGAAACTGGACGGTCTGAAAAAGCCTGCAATCAATTCTCATTAAATTATGACAATAAGTTAATAACAGCAACAAAAGATATAGTTCATATTTTTCAAGATTTTTTTGCTAATATTCCAATTGATATTACATCTTCTCTAGACTCATCTCCAATTCGGGCAAAAACATTACTGGAGGCTAATGTCAGCCCTTGCTCTTTAACATTTAAATTTTCACATGTCAGCCCTTTTCATGTCATAAAAATATTCAAACAGTTAAATTTAAAAAATACGGAAGATCTCTGGGACATGTCAGTTAAAGTAGTTAGTTCATTCATAGATATTGTTGCTCCTTATCTAGCTACTATTTTCAATAAATGTGTTGATAATGGCGTGTTTCCTCAATTAATGAAATTTAGCAAATTAATTCCACTCTTTAAATCTGGAGATAGATTTGAGCTAGGCAACTATAGACCAATTTCTATTTTGCCAGTTCTAAGTAAAGTATTTGAAAAGATTATGTTTAACCAAATGTTAAAATACTTCAGGGATAACGGACTGCTTCACAGTCAGCAATATGGTTTCACTGCCGGCAAGTCTACTACTGATGCAGGTGTAGCGCTTATTACACATATATTCGAATCATGGGAAAAATCACAGGATGCTCTCGGCGTTTTTTGTGACTTGTCGAAGGCGTTTGATTGCGTAGATCATGAAACACTTTTGTACAAGCTCAAACACTATGGTATTAGAGATAATGACCTAAGTCTAATGAAAACTTATCTAGAGGATAGGGTGCAAACTGTAGATATTGATGGTGTAAAGTCTAAAGGAACTAATATAAAAATGGGCGTTCCTCAAGGTTCAATATTAGGCCCATTTCTCTTTTTAATTTATATAAATGACCTTCCCTACATGGTAGAGAAAGTTGCAGACATAGTGTTATTTGCGGATGATACTTCGTTAGTGTTTAAAATTGGTCGCCAATGTAATCAATTAGACGATGTAAATTATGCTATCTCTGCTATACTAAATTGGTTCACATGTAATAATCTATTATTGAACTCCAACAAAACTAAGTGCATTAAATTCACGCTGCCTAATGTAAAACAAGTAAATACGCAGCTATTGCTTAATGATGAAATAGTAAATTTTGTTAATGATACCGTTTTTTTAGGAATAACAGTGGACTCGAAGTTACAATGGGGGCCCCATATTTCAAAATTAGCCAGTAGACTTAGTTCTGCTGCTTATGCAATTAGAAGGATAAGGCAATTAACAGACGTGGCGACGGCAAAACTTGTATATTTTAGTTATTTCCATAGCATTATGTCATATGGCATACTGCTATGGGGTAAAGCTGCCGATATAAATACTATATTTATTTTACAAAAGAGAGCCATACGTTCTATTTATGGTATGGGTTCTAGAGAGTCATTACGTCAATGCTTTAAACAATCAAATATCCTCACCGTTGCCTCACAGTACATTTATGAAAATATTATGTATACAAGGAAAAACTTAGATAGTTTCAAGAAACTTAAAGACTGTACAAGTAGAAACTTACGCAATAAAAATAAGCTAATTTTACCGAAATGCCGTCTACACAAAGTTAGTAATTCATTTTATGGTAATTGCGTAAGATTCTATAATAAACTGCCAGAGTCTACGCTAAATCTTACAGAGAGGCAATTCAAATCTTATATTAAACAAATGTTATGTAAAAAAGCCTATTATAAGATAGATGAATTTATAGATGATAGCAATATATAGCAAGAATAAGTTTATTTGCGGACAACATTATAATTTTAATTTTCATACTGCTTTCTTGATATATGATAGCGTAGCGGCTTTTGTATTGATTGCCGCATGCATCCTTATGTAAAGTGCGAATACTGTAACTACCATATAGTAATTTTTGTAGCTGTGACGTGGTCGTGTGGAATGAGTAGTCATGCTCACTAAAATGTCCAGACATGTGGCGGCGTGGTGGGCCGGGTCAATGGGCTCCCTAAAATATGGTCGAGCGCAGTGATGGCTGGCTCATCCGTCATACTCGTGAACGAGTGCTGCTTGTAGGGACTGGTCTGCTCTTATCACTACGACTGATTTAATCTTATTGCATGATTATATTTGACCCAAAAAATTAGTGCTTGTTGGTAGTTTGTATTCACACGTTTCGACTTGTAAATGTAAACTTACAAGGATTATTTAAAAGAGCAACACACAAGTTTCTTGCTCGTTCTTCTTGTGATGAGACAGCTTTCCGAACGAGTGGTAGATAAAAAACAAATTGTTATGACTATTCAAAAGTGCTTAAATTAAGTTTATTTGAATAAATGATTTTCTATTCTATTCTATTCTATTCTATTTCGTAACTATCGAAAACAGTATGCCATTGTTAAACCAATCATCATACATTTTTTGTACTACTATAATTTATTCTTTAGTAATGTAGGAAATATATCTTATAAATCAGTCAAAGATATGATTTATCTCAGTACTAAACCTGTTCAGCTATTTAAGCACACATTCAGATTATATTCGTAGTATCCAAATATCATTAGATATCTCGTAACAGAATTGCATTACAATAATCTCAAGTTAAAAATTTTCGTCATTAATATTACGATCTCACGGAGGTCTTATTTATGTCTTTCTTTTAACTTCTTTTATTTACACAGCATCCTGTTTCATTGCTCGCTTATTTGCTACCTCCCAAACATAATTTTGTATTCATCTCGCTGTATTATTATAACCTAATTTTGACATTCACATTTATATTTTTTATGAGTTTAACAGAAACGAAGTGACGCAATTTTAATTTATACTTATTCAAGCAATTATGCATATAAAATTTAAAAAAAAACATCTATATTGTATAGGTATGAAGAATAGAATATTAACCATATAACCACAAATCCAATTTAAGTGCTCAGGGAACAAAGAAACATTATTCAACTCCACAGAAGGAATTGTAAATGAGAAAGTTTTTGGTTTGAGAATTTTCGATCATTGGTTTGCCAAGAAAGTTTTAAAGAAACCCTGACTATGTCATTACATCCATAGCAAGCCAAGTGTAATGATGTAAAGCGAACATGAAATATGAAAGTTTGAGTGATAAGTGCTCGAGGCTTTTAGCATATCAGGGGTACTAACGTCACAATACATCCAACTCCAGTATTTGTTAAATGCTAGCTTAACTTTTAACACAGACGGATAATAACACAGTGGATTGACTAAGTAGGTATGAGACATATTGCTTGTAAGTCTCAACTGTGGGCAAAACTTTTCTTCTTTTAATTTTATACAGTTATACCAATAGTAACAAATATAGCAACTTATAACCAACACAATTCATTGAGTCAATTTATTATTTTCAACATATTGTTACTTATTTTAAAAACGCTGATTTTGATATTGTTGCAAATCAAACTATTATACGAAACGTAGAGTTTGGTGAATGTATTTTTATTGCATAACAATTTAAAAAAAAATCATTTCATTAAAACTCGATGAATATCTTTTTAACTTTTATGCCATATGCACAGACAATATTAAACTGTTATGGACCTAAGTAAAGATTAAATATTCCATTATTATGCTACAATGTATATTACAATTTACTATATTACAAATATTATTACATGAAAAGCATCATCACCTATCACATATCTTTGTATTCGTATGCACTTCCATTAACAACTAATCACGTTGACGATAACGAGAATTAGAAGCTTTTCACAAAACTACGAAAACATTTGTAATGTTTCTATAGAACAATGTACGTCGGTTAAGGTAGTACCTAATTATATAATAGCAAATGGTGTAAAGAACACTATTAGACAAATATTAAGTACATTTAAAACTAAAATTAACTCGCAATAAGTATCTCTGATACCTTTCAAGAGCATTCAGATAATTAAATATAGTCAACTAAAGCTGCAGAGATCTGTACCACTTTGCAGGGTTTAGATCAAAGCTAAATGTAGCTCATTTCGTAATTTACAGCAGCCAATTTGCCGATAGTTAACGATTTTCCATTCATTTTTACACTTCATAGTGTTTGTTATCTGTATTTAGCGATATTCTGCGCTTGCAATTTCTGACAAGTATTGATTTAGAATTATTGAAATATATTAATTTCTAATGCTAAATGTCAACATATACTTCAATTTTATTACAAACTAGCTGTTCCTGCGACTTCATCCGCGTGGAATTTAACTTTATTTTTCTAAAATAAAAGATTTTTCTAAAACAAAAGCAGTAAACAGTAGCCTAAGTTACTCCTTATTACACCAGCTACCTGCCAATAAAAGTCCCGTCAAAATCTGTTTAGCCATTTCAGAGATTAGCCGGAACAAGCAGACAGACAGACAGACAGACAACAATCGTAAAAAATGTTACTTTGGTATATCTACCGTATTTATATTCATATGCACGTAGTAAAAAACGGTTATTTCAATATTATAGACACTCAAATTTTATTTATATGTATAGATTTGAAACAAA